TGGCAGCGTTGCCATCCCCCCTGGGGGGTGATTTCTCGCTTTCTGTCTCTATGTCTCTCTCTGTCTGTCTGGCGAGCGCACGCGCCCTATAGTGAAAAATCTCTCCCAAAAAAAAAAGAAAAAAGGAACCAGGGCAGACTTTACTGGGCTCCTCTGGAGCTCCACCTCCTAAGATCCATCGAAATGCATATGAAGTGGGATGCAGGCCCAAGCACTTTCCTTCCCTTCTCAGGCAGGATTCTGAGGCTTGAGGCCCAGAAGAATTTATTCTGCTTGCAAGATGGGCTGCCGGTAGAGACTGAGGGACTCTCCGAGCAAACCGTGCAGCACCAGAGGTCCCACTCCTAATCACCACCTTCCTAAGCCTTCTCTCCTAACCACAGCCACCCCTAGCCAGTCCATCTTCCAGCCTTTTCTTTCAGAGGACATCATTGGGGGCCATGAGGCCAAGCCCCACTCCCGTCCCTACATGGCGTTTGTCCAGTTTCTGACCAAGGAGGGTAAGAAGAGGTGCTGTGGCATCCTGGTGCGAAAGGACTTTGTGCTGACTGCTGCTCACTGCAAAGGAAGGTGAGGGGCGACAGCCAGCCTGTACCTCCCGAGACCCCTACAGGGACCCTGTCCTCTTACAGGGACTACAGCCTCAGAGGTTCCCTGGAATCCTGGTAACACAAGCCCACGGGAGCTCATCGGAGCAGTGACCCAGAGCAGGACCAGGACAAGGAGAGGAATAAGATAGGTCAGCTTTGAGGACAGAGGTCGGGGCAAGTGGCACGGTTGAGAAGAGAGGGGCCACAGTGTCCAAAGAAAGCAAATGGCGGAGGTTGAAAGCATATACAGAGGGTCGACATGCAAACTCACACAGTTCCATGGCATTGCCTGAAGCTGTGACATCCCCCACAGCCTACTCTCAGTGTTCTTGAGGAGAGGGCACAGACAGCCTATGTCCCCTCAGCTGCAGCTCACCCTGACCTGGTCGTTCCCTGCTCTTCAAGGCTCGTAGGCTGTCCCCTGAGTCCACATCCCATTCCCACTCTTCTTTCTGTGCAGTTCAATAAACGTCACCCTGGGGGCCCACAACATCAAGGAGCGTGAGAGGACGCAGCAGCTCATCCCTGTGAGAAAGGCCATTCCCCACCCAGATTATGACCCTAAGAACTTCTCCAACGACATCATGTTACTGTGGGTGAGGACACCTCCTGCCTTCTTACTTTGCTCTCGCCATGACCCTGTCCCCTCCTCCTTTGCATTGACCAGTTCTGGAGCCTCAGGGGAGAGGGAAGATAGTGCAGCCCCGTCATGGCCTCTAGGCAGAGAAGGCCAGTGTCTGAGCCGGACTTCCTTGCCTCTCTCCCTGTCAGCTGGAGAAAAAGGCCAGGCAGACAGCAGCTGTGAGGCCCCTCAAGCTGCCCAGGGGCCACGCCCAGGTGAAACCAGGGAAGGTGTGCAGTGTGGCCGGCTGGGGCCAGGTTGCGGTGGGCACTTTAGCAACCACACTGCAGGAGGCGCAGCTGACAGTGCAACCGGACAAGACGTGTGAAGACCTCTTCCCAGATTACTACAGCAGGTCCACCGAGATTTGTGTGGGGGACCAAAAGAAAATGAAGACCAGTTTTCAGGTGGGATTTCCAGCAGCTACCCAGACCTAACTCAAAGAGAGAGAAATCTGGGGAGGTCTGAGATTTGGGAGTGCCCAGATTGTGCCCTGAGACCAGAGATTGGGCGGCCTGGGTCCCTTGAGATCTAGTCTTTAGTCCATTCCTGGGTGGATCAGGTGTCGGGGTAAGAGAGGATCCATCATCCTACAGGGGCGTGATCACCAGAGTATCCCTAAAGATTGCAGAGGAAGGCCTGACCTCAGTCCAGCTGTTTCTTTTGAACAGTAAGGACCAGACTGGTAGCCCTGGCTGGCCCAGGCTGGTGGCTGGCATCAATCTTATATTCAATTCCCTAACAGAGACTACCAACCACAGGGAGGTAGGGAGGGCAGGACCAGAAAGAGGCCAGCTCAGTCCTTTCTCTCTCTGCCCATAGGGGGATTCCGGGGGACCCCTTGTGTGTAACAAGGTGGCCCAGGGCGTTTTCTCCTATGCACCAAAAAATGGGACACCTCCAGGAGTCTTCATTAAGGTCTCCCACTTCCTGGCCTGGATAAAGAGAACAATGAAGCGCCCCTAACAACAAGCATAGGCTGACCTTCCTGTGTGCTTGGCCACATTTTTTTTTTTTTTTTTTTTTTTTTTAGACACAAGCAAGACTCCTGAAGAAGTGGGCTGTGGGGACTGCAGAGTTGTAATAAATAGGTCTCTGGAGAGTATGACTGATGTCTTATTTGTTCATTGCACCACATTCAATATGCATGAGCCCTGCTCTGCTGTCAACTCTGGGTTTCGCTTCCTCCTCGTTCCCCCAGCCCTCCCTCTCCCAAAACCCCAAGCTGTAGAGTTTCTCATCAATGTCTCAGTTTGTCTTTGATAACTGAGCTCTCTGCCAGGGCTCAGTCTGAACTCCATTGTGAAAAGACAATCTTCTCTCCCAGGAAATGAACCTCTCTTGACCTTAAGAATGTCTTACTGAATGTCTTACTGTGTCTAAGTCATCTACCTTCACCAGCAACCCTTATGGGTTGGCAAAGAGTAGAACAGAGCAATGGAAAGGGAATAATTCCAGGAACCCCGCAGGCCAGGGCCCTATCACATCCAGGACTGTCTGCAGCTTAGTGGGCCAAGATGTTCCTCTGAGGGCCCTCAGCTTAGCTAGGTCCCATTTCCCTGCTCTGGGTCCAGCCCAGAACTCAGTCACCCTTCTTTCTCCCTAATCAGCCTTGCCATAGTAGCCTTGTTTTTCCACCAGCATGTTCCTGGCCACCAGCTTCTTTCTCTTCCAGCCCAGCCTTTCTCTTACCTCCAAAACAGAGATTCTGAGTCTGTATGGACTCTTCTCTATTGATTGTCCCACCCAGATCTGGCTGCCAGTCCACCTGATGCCCGTCAGAGGAGGCAGTTCCTATCTCCTACCTGGGCGGGACTGGTTAAGGCCCTGGTTCAGCCTAGCATCCCCCAGGAGCTCAGATAACAAGTCCAGGGAAGTCCCTCAGTGGCCTCAGCCCCTTCCAACCTGGCCAGACTTAGGACCCAGACTCCCTCTGCTGGCAAAAAGAGGTTATGGCGGCTTTGTGAACTAGAGGGCTCTGGCTTTGGGCTGGAAATAATGTTTTGCCATTCATCAATAAATACTTGAGCTCTCTCTTTGCACCTGGAACGTCATCCCTTTGGAAAATTTACGGTGATGAGAAATTTCCTCTAAATTTTCCTGGTTCTTCTCCTTCCAACTTGGTCAATTTGGCACAAAAGGATCACTATCTGGAATCCACAAGAAATCTTCCTTTGAAAATAATTACTCTTGGGACCAGCAGTTGACGTAATGGCTATGTCACTAGACTCCCATGTAGTCGACCACGGTTCAAGTCCCAGACCCGGTGGCTTAAACTCACACCAGGCGCACGTGCATGGGTCCCCAAGCTCCCGAGAGGAGAATGAAGGAGAAGGGATTGTGATGTGGCCATCCCCCCTGGGGGGTGATTTCTCGCATTCTGTCCCTCTGTCTTTCTGGCAAGCGCACATGCCCTATAGCAAAAACCTCTCCAAAAAATAATAAATAAATAAATAAATAATTAAATACTTTGTATTCAATCTGCATTAAACATTGCAGTGTCACATGCATGCTTTTATTGATTCCAGAAGGGAAATGTGTGAAATTGGAAGAGGCTTGGAGCATATTAGGTCCCAATGTTTCCAATCCATGCTCAGCTGCTGAACTTCTTAGCTATTTTTATTTCTCATATAAAAAGCATGAACCTCAGTCCACACGCAAGAGATGCGATAGTTCAAGTGCAAGAAAGTTAATTGTGTGTGGTGACATGGAGGTTAAGGCAGCTAGATCCCATTTTCGAGTCTGAGACCCAGTGGCTTAAAAATCATGTGGAGCAAGTGTGCATGTGTGCCCAAAATCTTGCAAGGATAATGGAGAAGAAGAGATTGTGACATGGCCATCTCCCCTGGGGAAGGGAGATAGGTACTTTCTCGATTTCTTCCCCCCCTCTTTTGTGAGTGCACGTGCTCTATGGCAATTTTTTTTATTATATTCAGTATGATTTTATTTATATAGCATTCAAAAGTAGGCAAGATAAAACTATATTGGATAAAATAATACACACATAATAAATGTATTGTGAAAAGCAAGGAAATGATTATCCTAAGGGTCAGAATGGTAGTTAACACTGGAATGGGAGGGCAGAGAGGTCCACCTCCACCTCTTTCTAGATTTGTCCAGGGTCCCAGGATCAGCTGCTCTGTCTTCCAGGTAAGCTTTTACACCAGGAAACACTGATCTTGACTCTCTCTCTGCCACATCTAGGTTTCCAGGGTCCCTCTTTCTCTCTTACTGCCCCGATGGAAAAAATTTATGCAGATCTCAGTGAATTTGCTACAGAAAATCATGTACTTCAGAACTCTCCAGAAGTTCTGTCTTTTCTCTATTACCTGCTCTTCTTTACAAGGATGACAACACAGTCCAGTGATTAGCAAGAAGGCGTCTGGCTCCCTGCAGCCACGTGGGAAGGAAAGGCAAGGACTGTGGCACAGCCTTCTCTTAGCACCGACATTCACTGAAACAGCCACAAGTTCATTAGTGAAAACTTCCCGAGGAGCTTCCAGAGTCCTTCTAAGAGTGCTGTGAAGGTGGCCCTGCTGCGGTGTCTCCTCAGCAAGACACTGGTCTCCTACCAAATCAAGAGGACCTAGACTGCTTACCAACTAGACCAGCCTCAGACGGAAGGAGGATCTGACTCAGGGATAGCTGGCATCTGGCTGCCCAGAGGATTTGCGTTGGTGGCTTAAGGGAAACCCCCTACCTTAATGTCCTAACATTTCAGAGGAGGAAAAACACTGTAACTGACGGAAATGTAATAAACAGTCAAAAGCAGATGTAACCAGCTACGAATATGGTGAAACGTATCAGTCTTATTGGTTCAGATATCATGATTTATAATTTAAAATAGAAAACAAAAACATTTTAAAAATATGGGCCCTAATATACTCTGGTATACTGTATATTCCCCTCTCTACCCAAATGTTCTCTTTTCTTTTCTTTTCTTTTCTTTTTGCCATAGGGCTTGTACACTCACTAGAGAGACAGAAAGACAGAAAGCAAGAAATCACCCTTGGGATGATGGCCACACCACAATCACCTCTCATCCACTCTCTTCTCGGGATTTTGGGCATTCATGTACACGCACCTGGTGTGAGTACAAGCTGCTGCGTCTAGGCTCACACCACAGGTGACTATGTGGGACTCCAGCAACATAGCCATTACAACATCTGCTGGTTCCTCAAATGTTCTCTTTATCTTTCACCTACTAGTAAACAGACTTTTTAAATGTATTACAAAATACATACATATGAAAAACGCATAAAACAGAAATGTACAATGTAAAGAATAATTATAAGGCAAGCACATTTCATGTCATGAAATATAACATGATCAACACTCCAGAAATCCCCATATATCTCTCCCTCTCTGCCCTCCAATCCCAGTGTTAACTATCATTCTGAATTTCATGATAATCATTTCCTTGCTTTTCATTATGTATTTATCATGTATGTTTGCATTTTATCCAGTATAGTTTTATACTGCCTACTTTTGAACTTAATGTAAATAAAACCATACTAAATACAGTCTTCTTGGTTTTTTTGTTTGCTTGTTTTAATTTGCTATGGGGCATGTGCACTCATCAGAAAGAGAAAGTGAGAAAGTCCCCCAGCCCCAGGGTTGGCCATACCACAATCCCTTCTCATCCATTCTCCTTTCAGGATTTGGGGCATGCATGTACACGTGCCCAGTGTGTAGATTTTGATTCTCCAGGTCCCGGATTTAAATCACACAATCGTTCATGTAGGATCCAGCCATATTAACCACCATGCCACCAGTCCTTCTTGGGTGGGCCCTTTCTACATTACATTTGTAAGACTCATTTACATAGCTGCATGAGGTAATCATTTGTTCATTTTTATTGCTCTGAAATTTTCCACTATATGAATGTACGACAACTTGATTATTCATGCTGTTGTTGATGGACCTTCCATGTGTTTCCAGTTTGGACTATCATGAATGAGGGTACTATGACCTTTTTGGATCCGCATCTGGTGAAATGTGCACATATGTTTCCAGAGTAGGTACCTACAAATGGGGAAGAGCCTACCAGGGGCTGTACCTGGTATTTCATGATGCTTTAAAGTGGTGCTCAGTATCTAGTGAGATGATGTCTCTCCGTGTGTTTATTGGCCACTTGCACTTCCTGTTTCCAGATCAGTCTTTTACCCATTCTTGTATTGAGTTAGTTATCATTTTCATACTGATTTATAGCAGTTCTCTACATAATTTAAATATAAGTCCTCTGTTGGCTATGTGGGTTACAAGCCTCTTTGCCCGCTCTACAAACTATCTTTTGTTTCTCTTTATTTTAACATACTGAATTCATCAATCCTCTTTTCATGATTAGTACTATTATATGTAGTATCAAAAATCTTTAACTATCATGAGGATAGTGTTAACATTATACAATTCTAATCTTTATTCACATTTGAATCCATAATCTACCTAGAATGGATTTCTGGATATGGTGTCAGATAAAAGATCACATTTTTCCACATAGAAAATATGTGCTGATATAGGGTTCTATAAAGATATCTATTGCCGGGACCAGTAGGTGGCGTGGTGGTTAAGGCAATGAACACTCTCACATGACTGACCACAGTTCAAGTCCCAGACCTGGTGGTTTGCTTTCTCACTTCCTCTGTGTGTGTGTATGTGTGTGTATATGTGTGTGTGTGTGTGTGTGTGTCAAATTAAAAATAAATTAATGAATAAATAAAATATAATAAATAATTCTTTTTTTTAAATGTATGTGTCTCAATTTAAAAAAAAAAAGTTATCTATAGTCCTAGTCCCATTAATTGGGGGATGAGGGGGGCAAGGGAGGAGGTCTTTTCTAGCCAAAAAAAAAGAAAATAGTCTTTTTCTATTATGATGGAGGATGTAGCCTCCATCATAAATCAAGTATCCATTTATGTGTATATCTGTGTTCATGTGTGTGGGATCTTTATTTCTGGTACATTCATCTATTTCTCTGTACCTCATCAGTACCACACAATCTTCATCATCGTGGTTTTATTTGCTAAAGGAAATCTTTCCATCTTACTCTCACTCTTTAACAGCATCCTTCTACTGTTGGCCATTTATTTTTTTCCAAGCATATTTAGAACCAGTTAAGTTCTACAAAATATTTTTTAAAAAACAATAATCAATCAATTTTGAGAGAATTGACCTTTTTACAATATTTAGTCTTCCAATTTGTTAGCATGGAATCATTCTGTTTAAGTTAGCTTAAATGTCTCTTTATTAAACTTCATAATTCTCACTAAAGAAGTCTTACACATGTTCTTTTAGACATTTGTCTAGTTATTTGACCATTTTCATGCTGTTTAAATGTTACTTTTTTTAAATTTTATTTCAGAGACCAGCAGTTGGCATAATGGCTATGTTGCTGAACTCCCATGTAGTCAACTGCGGTTCAAGTCCCAGACCCTATGGCTTAAACTCACGCTAGGTGCTTGTGCATGCCCAAGATCCTGAGAGGAGAATGGAGGAGAAGGGATTGCGGTGTGGCCATCCCCCCTGGGGGAGTGATTTCTCACCTTCTGTCTCTGTATCTCTCCAAAAAAATATATATATATATATATATTTCAAATAGTGTTTCTTTCCATGTAGAAATATGATTAATTTCTACAATTGATATTTTATCTAGCAAATTTATTAAAATATCTTGATTACAGTGATTTGTTTATAGATTATTTTTGGATTCTCTATGTATACTATCATCTCTTCAAATCATTACAATTTTCTCTCCCTCCTTTCCTGTTCTTATGTCTTTCATTTCTATTCCCTGCCTAACTACTCTGGATAAAATGTCTACTATAATGTTGAGCAGAATTAATGATAATTTGTATCCAGGTTTTTTTTTCTATAGGGCACATGCACTCACCAGAAAGAAACAGACAGAGAGAGAGAGAGAAAGTGCTGCTCAGGGGGATGACATGTCGCAATCACTTCTCTATTCTGTGGGAACTCTGGGCAGGCAGGCACATATACCTAGGATTGTTCTCAAGCCTCTGGGTCCGTACTCAGACCACGCCATTGGCCACGTGAGATCCAGCTGCCTTAACACTGACACCCGGTGCAGGCCGTTCTTTGTCCTTTTCTTTATTTTTAAGTTAGACTACTGTGTGTTTCATTTTTGTTTTTGCTTTTGCTTTTGCTTTTGTTTTTAAGAGAGATTTTTGCTATAGGGTACATGCACTTGCTGGAGAGATGAGAGAGACAGACAAAAAGTGAGAAATCCGCCAACTAGGGTGGTAGCCATACCACAAACCCTTCTCCTCCTTTCTCCTTTTGGGATTTTGGCCAAGTATGCAGACACGCCTGGTGTGAGTTTAAGCTGCCGGGTCTAGAATGTGAGCTGCGGTAGATTATGTGGGAGCCCATCTGCTGGTCCCCTAGACTAATGTTTTAAAACAAAATAAAATGTTGACATTTTTAATTAATTAAAATGATACCAAATGCTAAGACACTAATAAAGCTGTTATACAATTTTCTCTTTTTCTTCATGCTAACCATTCAGATGCATAAATTCCATAGCACGTGTACTACAAAGGGGATTAAGCTCTGTGCAACTCTAAGTAGAGGGGTCAGCAGATGGCATAGCAGTTCAGGTGCTGGACTTAACTGCGGTTCAAGTCTTGGACCTGGCGGCTTAAAACTCACACAGTGATGAATGTACCCTTGGAGCAGAGAATAGGGATAAGGTTGATTGGCCTTTTATGTAATTGATGAAATGGAATCTTAGATGTTCTACTGCTAGGATCTAACAGCTCTCAACAAGCTCTAGTCACTAGGCCTTTTCTGCATGCAAGCAACCTTCTGGAACACAAAGACCTCCGCCTCGGGTAGGAAGCCAGCAAGTAGTTTTCAGCTGTGTCATAATTAAATGGAGAGTCTGCCAGTGTTCAAGTGACCGGAGAAAGTAATTACCAGTTTTAGAGCCTATTCTTCCCATTTTGTCCTCCCTCTGGCATCACCCTGTACTCATGAGAAGAGGGACTGCTTAATCCACCTTGATGACTTCGAGAAAGAAGTAGGAGAAACAGAGGTCTCAACCTTCTCCTCTTCTGTCCCCTTTGACATTTTCCTGGTGTTCTCCCCACAGCCCCACATCACATCCCATCTTTTCTTTGCTCTTCTCAAAGCCTTACTAAGTATATGGGAACAAGCAGTTCAAGAAACTCACATTCACTTAGAGGCACCTTGAAATTCCAAGTTGCTGAGCCCTAATCCCAGAGGGCTAGGGACTGGAGGAAGTTGGCACCCATTCGCTTTTATGCCTTGTTGGGCTATAATAGAATTTGATGGTCAGGGGTTCCAGAACACTTTGCCCAAAGCCCCCTTCTCACTGCCCTGGGCTCCTATTTCTGCTGTCAGCACTGACTTGAGGTGGAGTGGCATGGGCACCTCTGTTCACCCAGCTCATGGCAGTTGGTGGGCAAACCTCCTGGGTGATGCAACCTGTCATCTTAGCCAGAGACTGGGACTGTGAATTGTCCAGCTCCCCACTGCACCCCACCCCTTCCTTCCTCTCTCAGGGGCTAAAAGACTGGCAGGAAAAAGCACAAGAGCAACAGACCAGGAGGCCTTCCAAAGATGCAGCCAATTCTTCTCCTGCTGGCCTTCCTTCTACCCTCCAGAGCTGAGGCAGGTGAGTGATCATCCCCACTCTTGAGGGTTGGACTTCATCTCATAGACTCAAGGACCAAACTGCCTTGTCATATATTAATTTTACATCATAGAGCAAGTTATTTGAAATCACCTTTAGTTTCCTCCTCTATAAAATAAGAATATTATGTAAAACAGCTTCATAGAGCTGTTATGAGAGTCAAATTAGTGTACACAAAAGTCTTAAAATTGTCCGCAACACATAGTAAGTACTACATAAATGTGCTCTATGTAAACTTGTTCTGCAGCCTGTGGGTGCACTAGGAGATAAGGTTAGAGCAGTAACAGTTCCATCAGCTCATGTCTAGATTCTTCAACACTAGTCCTATGCTGTCACAAGCTGGACTAACAGGGATCTGGAAAGCTCCCTGAGGAAGAAAGTACCAGGGAGTCCCCTGAACCCCTCTGAACCCCTCTCCTCAATGCCAGGCCCTGAAACTGGCCTCACCTAGAGCAAGGGTTGTTCCCTTCACTGGAGCAGAAGGGAGCTGAGGTCTGGGGTGGGGAATGCTTATTCCTTCAAGCTAGCAGTGTTTCCTGCAGGGCCCTCTCCCAGTGTCTGCTGCCCTGAGATCCCAATCACTACCAGCTTCTCCCTCAGCTGCTTCATCTCTCCTGCTCATCCTACCTTACAGCCTTTCTGGACCCACTAACCTGTGCTCACACTACGGGTTCAGTGAGCACAGAAGTACAGAATTCTTTCTTCCAGAGGAGATCATTGGAGGCCAAGAGGCCAGGCCTCATTCCCGCCCCTATATGGCGTATCTTCAGATCCAGACTCCAGCAGGTGTGAGCGCCTGTGGGGGCTTCCTGGTGCGAGAAGACTTTGTGCTGACGGCAGCTCACTGCTGGGGCAGGTGAGGGACTCAGAAGCTCCCGGGCCAGCCAGTAACACAGACCTAGAAGAGCTCATCAGGGAGCCATCTGAAAGCAGAATTGTAGTGATGAAAAGATGAGAGGAGACCGGGTAGGCCTTGGAGTGGGGGGACAGGCAGGGTAAACCAGAAGAAAATGAGGACATGGTCAAAACCAGCAAGAGGAGGAAATGGAAGGCACGCTTGGGAGCCCAAAATATAGACTCAAGTTATTTCCCATTTTAATCTCGGGAGCAGACCTGAAGGTCATTGTCTCCCTGTCATCCCCAGGTCAGAGCTGCAGAAAAACCAAGCACAGGGCCCAGCCCCAGGGCCCTCTGCACCCCTCGATTCCCTCAGCCGAAGTCCTGCCCTTCCCTGGGCGGCCCACCTGCCCTGCAGAGCTGGTGGACCACAGCTCCTGTGACTCATACTTACCTCTAGGTCACCTTTCCTTTGCAGTGTTATAAATGTCATCCTGGGTGCCCACAATATCCAGAGGGCAGAAGATACCCAGGAACGCAGGACTGTGCTCAGAGCCATCCGCCACCCTCAATATGATCAGCAAAACAACCTGAATGACATCATGTTACTGCAGGTACCCTGCCTGACTGACCCCCAGCTTCCGCCCAGCCCTGTGCCTGGACGAGGCAGCAAAGGCAGGGCTCCAGGCTAGGAGAGGGAGGAATGGGGTAAGTACTGCACCGGTCATCCCTGAGCCTTGGTTGGGGCCCCAGCTGAGTGGAAATGCACTCTTCCTGCCAGCTGGAGAGCAGAGCCAGACTGAATCAGGTTGTGAGGTCAGTGACTCTGCCTCAGACCCAGAAGACGCCGAGGCCTGGGGCGCTGTGCACAGCCGCTGGCTGGGGCCTGGTCAGCCTGAACGGGAGAACCAGCATACTCCAGGAGGTGCAGCTGAGAGTGCAGAGGGACCAGAAGTGCAGCAATCGCTTCCGTTTCTACACTGGCCAAACGCAGATTTGTGTGGGGAACCCAAGGGAGAGGAAGTCTGTCTTCAGGGTAAGGCCATGGGCATCTGCCACCACTGCCCAGGACAGAGGGGCATCTCCACACAGACTCCATCCCTATAGCCACAGCCTGCAGCCCACTCCAGACTGGGGTGGGGATCTTTTCCCCATCAATCCAGTCTCTGGGGGGATGGGAGGGAGACCCATGACATATACATACACAGTGTATATGTGTATTTCCTCTTTCCTTTTTTAAAGAGGTTTTTGCCTTAGGGTGTGTATGCTCACTAGAGAGAAAGCAAGAGACAGACAGTGAGAAGGAAAGTGAGAAATTACCCCACCCAGAGGATACCCATGTCCCAATCCCTTCTTCTCCAGAGACCTTAGGCACGCATGCACACTTGCTTGATATGATTTTCAAGCCATGGGGTCCAGGACTCGAACTGCAGTTGGCCATGTGGGAGTCCAGGGACATAATCACCGTGGCAACTGCTGGCCCTGCAGTGTCTTCTTGGTGAAGGTGAAGGTTCTTTGACTTAGTTGAGCTGAATACTTGACTTCTGTCCCAAAACCTCCCATCTCACATACACCCAGCAACTGAAGGAGCCTCCCCACCCTACGGGGCTTGAGGCCGTAGAAGGAGTAGAAGGAGGACTTCCTGAGTGACCCTTCTACTTGATGTCCACAGGGGGACTCTGGAGGCCCCCTGGTGTGTGACGATGTGGCCGAGGGAATCGTCTCCTATGGAAGTAGCGACGGGACCCCTCCAGCAGTCTTCACCAGGGTCTCTAGCTACAACTCCTGGATAAGGAGAACAATGAGACGATTCAAACAGCACGATCAGACCAAGACTCCTTTGTGACTGACTTTTCTTCTCTGGAACCCAGGCCTGCTCCAAGGGATTGCCAGAGCCTTAATAAATATCGACATTCAGAGTGTGAATAACCAATTTCTCATTTGTTCATCAAACATCATTCAGTATTGTCTTAGTTCATTCTGGTTGCTATAACAAAATACCACAGATGGAGTGGCTTCTAAACAACAGATATTTATTCCTCTCAGCTCTAGAGGCTGAGACGTTTGAGATCAAATCACCAGCAGATTCAGTGTCTGCAGAGAGCCTGCTTCCTAGTCCACAGACAGCTAGCTTCTCCCTGCGTCCTCACATGGCTGAATGGAATAGGGAGCTCCCTAGGGCTTCTTTCAGAGGGGAATAAACCTGTTCATGAAGATAGAGTCCTAATCACCTTCCAAAGACTCCATGTCCTAATACCCTTACATTAGGAATTAGATTTCAGTGCTGAATTTTGAAAAGACACAAACTCGGTCTGCGTTGAATATGTGACAAATATGTACCAGTCCTGGGGTGAGCTCCTCCAGGAAAATGAGATCTTCTCCCCAGGATGAATGAATTTCGTCTCCTGATCCTGGGGATCAGAAGGAGCTTCTCCCCTCCCTCGCCATCTTCTCCCACCTCACTTTCACCTTGAGGAGTAGTAGAAGGACTCCTCTCTCCCCACAGCAAGGCTCTTTCCACCCTACAAGAGAATCCCCTACTGTGTATTAAAGTGTGTTCTAGTCAAAACTCTGTGGCATTGATGCACGTAGACAAGCTAACTAAAATAGCATAAAAGACCCAATTTAATCTATGATGAAGGTGGCATTTCAAATCACTGGGAAGCAATGAGCTTTTTAAATCTTTTCCAGACAGAGTCTTCCCATGTTGCCCATGCCAGACCCAAGCTCAAGATCCTTCTGCCTCAACCTCCCAGTAGTTCAGTTTACAGTCTCCTGCCAACACACCCAGCCTCTAGGTTAGACTGGGGGCAAACTCCGGGCTCCCATGCAGTCCCAACCTGCATAGCAGTGTCCTAGTAACGCACCCTTAGTGTTCACCACCACGGCTGGTGAACAATTTTTAAAAATTTAAAAAACAATGAACTTTTTTTTATTTTTTAGGTTTTTGCCATAGGGCACATGAGCTCATCAGAGAGAGATAGTGAGAAGGAAAGAGAGAAATCCCCCCAGAGAGGTTGGCCATGTTATATCCCTTTCTTCTCTGTTCTCCTCTCAGGATTTTGAGCATACACACATACACACATACACACGATGCTTTTCAAGCCACTGGGTCCAAGATGCAAACTGTGCAGTCAGCCATGTGGGACGAATGTCTAATAAATGGCCACATGCACCCTATAGCAAAAATCTCTAAAAAATAAAAGAAAGAAAGAGAAAGAAAGGAAGAGAAAAAGAAAATAAATAAATAAATGAAATTAGAACAGCTAGATAGCTATTTTGCTATTTGAGCAAAGAAGATAAAATTGAATCTGTGTCTTATACTACGCTCTCAAATAAACCTCAAATGGATCAGAGTTCTAAATATAAAAAAATTAAACCATACATTACTAGAAAAAAGAAAATATTTAAAAATTTGCTTGTTTAAAGATAGCTAACACACACCCATGTTTATAGTAGCACCAGTCATAATAGTCAAATGATAGAAGCAACCCACATGTCTCAACAGCCAGTCCTTAACCTAAACCCTTACACCATAGCAAGTCCACTGACTACAACCAATATTTTCATATTCAGGGTGATGAAGATCTATATCTCACTTTTTTAAGAATTATTTTATTTAACTTTATTTATTTATTTTGACCAGAGAGGGACAGAGTGAGTGAGAAAGAGAGCTAAGAAAGAGAGCAAGAGAGGGAGAGAAGTGAGAAAGCAAGCTACCATGTCCAGAACTCAAAGTGCAGATGGCTATGTGGGATCCAGAGTCCTTAGGCACCGCGCACCTGCCAACCCCTATATCCCACTTCTGATAGCAGTGCAGTTGTCCTACAAGTTAATCCCTGACTATCTACATTGATATTACAGCCAAATAAAAGATTACTAAAATTATGTCATTTAAAATCATACTTTAAACATTTCCTCAAAGTAACTGCACAGAATCAGCTGAGAGGCTTTTCTATGTACATCAGAATATTAATTACTTCTTGCAGTATGACATTTACCATCTGAACTTCTGCAGTTCCCATCATCTTAAATACAATAATCACTGAACAGATACTTTAGCAAATCCAACTGGCTGTATACATAATGCTTTGGTGAATTTGACCATTCTTTTATCTCTTAGTAAAAAAACCAACTGTCTAGGGGCCAGCAGATGGCATAACAGTTACATTGCTTGATACTCACATAGTTGACCTCCGTTCGAGTCCCACACACATCAGGTGTGCATGTGTGCATGCCCAAAATCCCAGGAGGAGAATGGAAGAGAAGGGATCGCAGCATGGCCATCCCTTCTGGTGAGTGATTTCTCACTTTCTGTCTCTTCATCTCTGTGGCAAGCACATGTGCCCTATAGAAAAAAAAAAAAAAGCCTCTAGAAAAGAAAATAAAAGAAAACCAACAGTCTAATATTCAGTGTAACCATTCATCAACAAAATTTTGATCAACAATACATCTTTGACAATCCTTAGTCATTGTCTCTACATTCGCTCACTGCCTACCCATAGGAATTATCTATTCCTACATGCTCTGTAGGGACAACCACCTCATTATTAAATATTTGGGTAAATGCAGAAAATGCTTGATGGTGGAGAGGGAGGAGGAGAGAGCAGTGGAACAGTCCCCCATTCACCCCTTCCTCTCTGTGACATTTACCTAGAGCCCTACAGGTTAGCCTTCTCAGGACTCAGTCTCCAGATGTCATGGGCACACATCTCATTTCCACGTTTCCCTGGCAGCGAGCACTTCCAAGACAGATCTTTGCCTCTGGCCACCCTGCTGAAAGGTTCAGACAGACCCGAGGGTCTCACCTCCAGAAACGGTCCTCTTCATAACCATCCCAGAAGCCAGTACCACCGCTCCTCCTCCCAGCTCTGCACTCTTCCCCACTAAGTGTAGGGCCACAGCAGGACATTAGCCAGAGAGCATTTTGCACACTAAAAGATGAGTGCAGGAGGTCACAGTTCCTCTCACTTCTTTCTCCTGGTGGAGACTTCGTGATTAGAAGCCCTTCTGACTTAACTGGGAAATCATAAAGTACAGTAAGCTCGATGCAGAAAGCTTACCAAGAACTTTTCTCCCAATCCAGTAGTAAGCTTCCTCTCCTTTTCACTCTCTCTCCACACACACACACAAAGCAATTTCCTTTTCAGACAACAAAGGGCCAGGGCAGAGGCATGCAGAAACAGTCTGTGTAAAAGGGAAATTGGAAGACACTGCTCAGCTGGGACCTGCGTCCCCTGTTCCACATGGGGACGTTCAAGACCTTCATGTGAGGCCCAGGGGAGTGTCTGATAAATGAATACAAATGAGGAACTTTTTCACTCTGTTCCAAGATCTCAAGAATTTCCCCTGGAATAAAGGAACAATTCATTTCTGCATGACTCTGGGTCCATCTGATCTTCTCACTCTATGGCTTATCTATGCTTTGAGTTTGCTTAATAAATCACATCCACGATAACAAGAGGCCAAGTTTTCTCTTCCTGGACAAAAGTGCACTTGAAACCTCCTGACCATGAGCAGGCTCTGACTTCACCTTTGTTCTCTCTCCTTTTTCTATATGCTCAGGCAGCACGCCTCACACATACACACTCACACATACTCAAGACTTACACACTTACTAAGGTCACAACATGGGTGAGTTTGGGCTCCAGAGGGACTTGCCCTTTAAAGGAAAGTGTACCCAAATGGCCGAGGTGATCAGTGTGGTCCCTCTTTATGGCTCCACCCACAGGAGCAGGGGCAATGAGCTGGGCTGAGGGACATGGGCGACCCAAGACCACTCTCCACTCCAGGACATCTGTCCTTAGGGAACATCCACACCTCACAGCCCGGGTTCCCACAACCACGGTTGCTAGGTTGCATTCCCTGTGGTGCCAGCTCACCTTCGGTCCTTATAGAGAAGATCCTGGGCTAGGCTTTGGAAGGAGTCCTGGAGGTCCAGACGGCAGCATCTGCCCCAAGCTCAGGGCCTGCTCACTGCCCAGTCACTCACCGGCCTCATCATCCTGCAGCTCATGCTTTCTGCTCACATATGCCGACTTCACTTCTAGACCACTCGGGCCTCTGCTGGACTTCAGCCACATGCTGAGCTGTAGCTACCTCTGTATGAGAGGGTGCTCAAAGGCTCTGTTCCTCCACACAGCAAGACATAAAGGATGGGGCCGGCAATGGCATGGTGATTAAGGGCACTGGATTCCCATCTGGCTGACCATGGTTTGAGTCCTGGACCCAGCGGCTTGCTTTCTCACTTTCTCTCTCTCTGGCTCACTCTGTCCTTCTCTGGTCAAATTCAAATAAGTAAGTAAATAAATAAAGTTAAATAAAGTAATGCTAAAACAAAAAAAGGACATAAAGGGTTATGAAGGTACTGGGTCCCAGTGGGACCACAGAGCCATCAAGTGATCATTGTCTAGGATGACCAGATTTAGCAAATAAAAATATAAGACACCTGGTTAAACTTCAAGTTCAAATAAACAACAAAAGTATGTGTGTGTGTGTGTGTGTGTATGTGTGTGTGTGTGTGTTATGTAAGTAGGTCCCAAGCAACAGTGTATTTTACACATTTGGGTCATACTTATACTAAAAAAAAAACTTTGAAAGTTGGGGCCAGCAGATGACATAGCAATTATGTAGCTGGACTCTCACATGGTCCTACTGCAGTTCGAGTCCTGGACCTGGTGGCTTGAAACTCATGCCACAAACTTGTGCATGTGTGCCCAAGATCCTGGGAGGAGAATGGAAGAGAAGGGATTGCAGTGTGGCCATCCCCCCAGGGGATGAGTTCTCACTTTCTCTCTCTCTCTCTCTCTCTCTCTCTCCCCCCCCCCCGACTCCACCCCCAGCAAGTGCACATGCCTAAGGCAAAAAGAGCCTAAGAGGAGAATAGCAG